GCCGGGGCACGCACCCAGCCGCGGGGGGAGCCCGCAGCCCGCCCGCAGCTCCGCCGATGGCTTTAACAGCTCCGGCCTGGCCCGCTTCGTTCCCTGCCTCTACACAGCCTGGCTCACCCCCCCTTGGGCAGTCTCAGCCCCAGATAAGCAGGGCAGGATTTGATTCCACTGGGGAAGATGTGGCACATGAGACACCCACTGTCCTGCGGGACCAATGGGGGACAGCGACCACATCTAGACCACACAGAGAAAGGTGCAGGACCAGCACTCAGTTCAATCTGGGAAGCTTTGGGACTCCCCAGCCTTTGCCACACATAGCAGGAGAGGTGGGATGCTCCTCCTGCTCCCCATCCCAGCCAGCCCTGCCCTGCTGTATGGGGCTGAGCTGCAGGGGAGCCCCACGCCAGAAGTGTGACTCAGGTGGGGATTTAGCAAGTCTCACTGCAGATGTTGAACTTGGCCACGCCCCAGCCACCCCTGTTCCAGCTCTAGTAAAAATGGGGGGTAGGCAGGGATAGGAATGGGGATGGTATGGAACTGGGAGACAGGCAGGAGGGGTCGATGATGGGTGTAACAGGATGAGCCAGTGGGGAGCTACTGGTTTGGGGACACAAACCCAGCCCCTGTCTCCCACCACTCCAGGGTGGCAGAGTCCCCCCACCTTGGTCACACATGCAAACCCTGGGGACAACACCTCCACCAGCACCCTGTTCTCCATCACCACTGGTTTTCTCAGCAAAACCAAAGTAGGCCATAGATGGTACCCCTCCAGCTTTGCTCACCTGCTTCTGCGTTGGTTGTCTCCAACAAGATGCAAACCCGAAAGTGTCACAGCTCTTCTCCTGCCTCCCTGCAGCAAGCCTGGCCCCCCGAGGAGAGCCACCATGGTACTGGAAAACCATCCTTCATCCACCCAGGATAGGGGATATCTTAACCCCCAGAACAACCACAGGAAGAAGCACCTCATCACCACCCTTCAGCTTCCAAACACTCAGCCAACTGATGGCTACGGGGACCACAGCAGCAACCCATCACACAGCTGGCACTGACCACAAAGCCCCTTCAAGGATGAGGAAGGATGGCAGACAAAGCCATGAGCTCCTTGGGGACACCACCTGACTCCTCCATGCTGTGTGAGGATGGATGACAGGCAGTGGGACAGGCTCCCAGGGGTACCCCAGCACAGCCCACTCTCACCAAGGACCACTGGGCAGCCTGAGCCCAGTAGGCAGCAAGGATCTTGCCTGGGCAAGGCAGGAGGGTGAGCTTGCAGATGGGGACAAAACCGTGCCATGGGGTAGGTCACAGAGCAGCCCCTGCTTGACACACCCAGGTATGTTCCTTCCTAGCCAGAAGGCAAGATGTGGGGGTTCAGACCCCCTTCTCATGGCCTCTGCCCTGGGGGAGCCTGATCAGCTGGAGACCCTGCTGTGACTCAGTTTCCCCTTTCCCACAGCCCTGCAGATAAGCACAGCATAGACAAGCATAACACCAGGACAGGCACCATCCCCAGCAGATCTCCTGGTGGATCCCCAGCCATCCACCTGCTCCTCTGGCTTCAGGGTCCCATGGGGTCACCACCACCCTGTCAGGCACCCACCCCCAGCCCAGATGGGTGCCCCATGCTGAGCCAAAGCCATCAGAGAAAGGACATCCACCCCCACCAAGAGCTGCTGTGGCCGGCAGAGACGCGGCGCAGGGGGGACCCCCCGGTTGGGAGGGCAGCCCGCGACCCACCGGCC